AAAAAAAAAAAAAAAAAGAAAATGTGGGGTTTTTAAAATACAATGGAGTACTACTCTGCCATAAAGAAGGATAAACGAGATATTTTTAGGCAAATGGATGCACCCTGAGACATACTTTTAAGTGAAACAAATCAAACACATATGTTTAAATATGGCATTGCTTCTCTTGTATGAGAAACTAAAAGTGCAAATAACATCCAAAATGAATGTGAGATATTGGAAAATAGGCAGAAAATGTGCAGATGGAAAGGGGATCGTGGGTGGGAGGGAATAGAAGGAAAAAATGGAAACAAAGCTTTTGTAAATAAGGAGTGGAAGAGGGTTTGAATGGCGGGGAAGGGAATGGAGAAAAAAACCAAGAATCAAGATATATCATGTACAGGTGCAATGTGATCATTATGTATAACAAAAGTATCAATAAAATTAACTAAAAAAAAAAAAAGAGTAAAGACAGAATTGAGCAAGCAGCCTTTGCCTGATCTGCAGAGACCAGCTTGGTGAAGACACCTGCACATGTCCCTCTCCTGACCCAAGTACCACTGATGGCCCTGCCTCCTGCCCATCTCAGCTGCCCACCAAAATGTGTTCCTAATTACCTAGTTGGCTTAGCCTGAGACAGGACAAGTCAGTGACCAAGATGACCTGTCACCCTCAACAATCAGATCAACAGGAAGATATTTCTGCACCCGGTAGAGTCAAGACCATGATGCAGAATACACACACGGCCCACCACAAAAGGCTTCTAACCCACAGGCTGCACATCACCTCCACGTTACGACTACCATGAGCTTTTTGAAATTCTCCAGCCCCAGATTCTGGGTGCCATGTTTTGTGGGTGCTCCAAACCCCGTCTATTAGCTTCTTGGCTAATTGTTCTTCCTACCTTCAGGTATCATCTGCAGGCTCCCTGCCTGCTCCCATCTCACTATGAAATGTGGGGTTTAAGACAGTTTCACTCAGAAGTCCCACATCATTTCATGGTCAACAGGTTGAAAACTGAACTTCCTAAAAGACAAAATAACATAAATGAAAAACCTGTTTCCACTCCCCACTTCCTGCCTCTGTCCTTTCATTTCCATGTCCTAAAACCTTGAAGTCATCTTGGATGTCCCCTTCTGTTTATCCCACACATCAAGGCAGCCAGGGATAGGGGAGTCCCTGTTCCCCAAATCCTCTCCATTCCCAGCACTCTCTGTCCAGGCTCTCAAGAACTGCCAAAATTATTACCACT